CTATCTCTCTCTCTCTCTCTCTCTCACACACACACACACACACACACACACACACACACACACACACACACCCACACACACACACACACACACACACACACACACACACACGACTAATCTAGCAAACCTTAAACAGCTTGTCAAGGAATGCACCTTGATCCTATGAACAATCACTAGCAGATATGTTTCATGTACAGCATGACAACTTTTTCTACAAAATGTAATGATGCTTAGCATTGCCAGCAAAAAAATGTGTTTCATAAAGGGCATGGCTACTAGTTCTACTCCCTGTCACAATGAGTGGTACTGCCTTGATGATACTGCAAGACGAAACATGGCATTATGGCAGCACAGAGTGACGTTTAAGCATCTCGGTGAATAGACAAAACTAGTAATTTACATGCATTGTTCTTAATAAAACATGATCAGTTCCTTCCCCATACTTAGAGCTGAAACACATATCTGGAAATGTATCTGGATATTTTTCAGATATTTGTTTCAGATTTATCAATAAGATATTTACATTTCTCTTTTATAAAACCCCCTCAAAATTTGAAATTGAAATGCTTTTTAAGATACAGCATTGGCCATTTCTTTTATTATTTTGATGTTGGTACTGATAAATAAGCTGCTAGATATCTCAGTGGTTTCAGTCTCTGGCTGTGGAACTAGATATTAGGAGTTCTATTCCCCACTGAGCCTTCTGGGAGAAGAGCCACCCTGAGTAGCTATGAGTAAGCTGTACGGTCTTAAGACGAACAAAACAGTAAACCACTTCTGTGCTTTCTCTGTTCAGAAAACCCTGGAATGGGTCACCATAACTCAGAATTGATTTGATAGCACACAGTTATTATTTATTGGCAGATTGGAATTCTTCTGAGAATTGATGAATGATTTGCTGCTGTGCATTTACTGGATGGTTTTAGGCTTTAGTTTTGCAGGAACTATTGGCTGAAATACTGTTGAATAACTTATGTTTATGGAAGAGTGATTATGTCATTGACATGAGTCAATTTTCAGTTTTTATGCAGTTTTTATCTCTCCGGTATAAATTAATTTCATTGTGTAGAAGCTACAGCAACTGTAGGATGGGAGAAGGAAGTCTTTAAGTACTAAAAATTTCTTCTCTCCTGTGAGAAGATTCCTCTTCATTGTAACTTTTGACACATAACTGTATGTGTTAGAATTTAGCAATTCTAACAGCAAAGAAGCCTCATAAAACAATTAACACAGGAATCCTATCCTCTGAATCAACAGGTTAAGGACACAGATAAACTCTGTTCATAATTCTGAATGGGCCAGGTGCAGACGGAAATGGTTACAGTTTGAGAAACATCTTGTAAGTAAAGATAATTCACAGAAATTATGTGAGAAAGAAAACTTGAAAGGAACACCAGTTTTAATAAAGTTATTTATAGTAATTTGTCTAACCACATATAAAAACTATCTTAAGTATTCTGGAACTTTGGATTTCTGACACCTTAGGGTGTGTATATATTGATTTCCCTGCTGGTATTAATAAACACTTTCCTGATACCTTACATATTAATATGCCCCTTGCCAAATTTCTAAGGCAAATGTTTCCACACTAATAATTATTTTTGGGAATGAAAGAACTCCTCCTTCCATCCCACAGCTCCCATTGCTTCCACACAATGAAAAAGATTACATGGGAGCTGGAAAAGCTGCAGGACAGAAATAAGAAGTTTTTAATTATCAACACTTGTGAATATATATATATATATTTTAAATATCTCTGAAAAAACTTTGTGTACTTTTCCATAGATGAGAGATTCTAACATAAACACATAACTTCTTACCAAACATAAGAGTATTAACTTACTGTTTGGAACTGCAAGGATCATTATAGGTAGAATATTTTTCACAGGTATTCCCTGAAACCCCAGGATGGGTGCACACACATTTCCCACAAACGCATTCACCTCTCCCACTGCAGATTGTGCCATCTTCAGAAATACAGCCTTCTGTATCAGTAGTGCAGTTACAGTATTCCCCTGTCCAGCCACTGTAACAAATACATTGATTGCAGTCACAGTCACCATTGCCTGTAAAAAAAACCGACATCTCTAGTTATTCTTCCTGTAGAGTGTAATGGTAAACATGTCTACTCAGGTGTAAATCCCATTGGGTTCAATAGAGCTTACTGGCTGATTGCAAAGGTTTCTGAATCACCATGGCAAGACTGTAAATTTATATCAGTTGAAAATCCAAATTAGGCCACATGATGTTCAGGGACAATCACTACCCTGTAATTTCTTTCCTAGAAACTCAAATGCAAACCTTTATATTAAAAAACGTGATGAGCCAGTTTTTTTACATTTCATGTAAGATGAAGAAATGTGGATATGTATTTATGTCACAGTGCAATTCTGATGCCGGCCTTCTTAATTTTTAGATGGTGTCCCTCACTTACTGTTCTTGAGAACAGACCATTTCTTTTCTATAATATCCAAATTGATTTCCCATGATTTTATTATGTGGTTTGTCTTGTTTTGTTGTTTCTGAGAATTACAGTTTGAGATGAACTTACCTCCACACAGCAGGCCTCTAAATCTTACACAAGAGAAATTGTCACATTCACAATTTGGCCCATATATACTTCCATATGGCGAAAGCTGGCAAATACACTGTCCGCAGTAGCAGTCGCCTCTTCCGCTACACGAAGTCTGTTCTGGCGAACTTTTACAGGAAGCTGTATCCAATGACTTTTCTTCATCGTCACACTCACAACGAGGGCCCATGTAGCCAGGGTGGCAAGCACACACCCCACACTCGAATGAACCGTTCCCGTAATTGCATTTGGAGCTGTTCACCTCAGCTTCCTTCTGACAACTGCAGCTGCATTCAGGCTCAACATCAATTTCCAGAACTTCATTCAGACCCACGGGTTTTATTATGACGTGCCTTCTACTTTTCACACATGCAGACAAGCTTAAGGTCACATTAAAAGTAACCTAGGTAAGGAAGAAAAGCCCATCTGGATTTAACTATCTATCACAATAGCATACAAAAGGCAAAAGGAGAGCATGGATTTTTAAAATAGAATCTAACAAAATCTTACAAAAGTCTTGTGACCAGTATTTATTAGCTGTAGTGCCCAGGGTATCAGCCACTGAAAAGGCCCTGTCTTCATCAAGCAGGCCCCTGAGGGCAGCGAGACTGAATGAATAGTTTCCCCTCAAGATCTTAAAACCCTGGGAAGCACATTTGGGGAGACGTGATCATTCACTAACCTGGATCTTCAGATTTTAGAGAGACTCAAAAGCAGTACTTTGAACTATACTCAGAAACAGGTCAACAATGAGTGAAATTTCGGGCCAGAAATTTAGCTGCAACATCATGAACCTGCTGAAGTCACTGTGTTTTGGATTCTAATTAGCAATGTCTCCAGGTCACTACATAACTATGCATATTTATAGGATATATAGATCAGACCCTAATTTGTTCAATATATGTATCTAGAATCAGTATTCAATTGATTCACGAAATTATCGAGTTCTATAGAGCATGAAAGTGCCCTGTTTCATGCATTTACTATATTAATTGAGGAACTGTCTACCTGTGAATGTTATGACATGAAAATCTACTTACCACTTCTCCTACTTTAATGTGCGAGCATTTTTTCTCATTTGGAAAGACAGTGCCATTGTTACAGATGGCAGTGAAAGCCAGGTCCAGTCCATCTGTGTCTCCTAACACCTCCAGCTCAGTTTCAGATCGGAGCGCCTTAAACACACCATCAATGAGACAAGGTTATTGAGAAAGGAATGGCTGACACAGTGTGTGCTTACCTGGAGAACCATGAGATCTGCTTTGGAAGCCGTTTTCTGAAGGCCAAACCAGACAGACACTACAGTTAACACATCATTAGAAGCACAGTGCACTTGAAAGGAAAAGATTGTATGCTCAGCATATTGCAAGCTTACTGCAATCGGGGTTTCACAAATTAGCCTACTTTTAAATTTTCTAATTGATCAGTTGGAAGGTACCACAGTTTAAATTGCATGTCTGGAGTCTCAGGCAAGTAGCACTGAAAGGTTTGTGTGACTGGAGAAATAACATTATAAGAGGAAGATATCCACATTTGCCTTAATGCTCTGACCCTGTGTGGCCCTACTGAGCGAAGCCTAATTTGGTACCATGTCAGTGTGAGGCACAAAACCTTTTCTTAGGCCTTTTAAATCTTTTAGATTTAAGCTGTTTTTCTACTATGCAGCTGGTGCCTTTATGGTATATCATGCTTTTATTCAATTTTACACCGTTTTATTTCTTGTTATTCACCACAGTGAGAACTCTTGTTACACAAATAAAATTAATAAAATGAATTATTCTTGTAGCTGTTTATTCTGGAATGGAACAAGAGCACTTGAGAAGAGTATTACTAAGATTTTTCTATAGTTTGGAGTCTTTACAACTAAATTCTTTTAACCTCCTCTTAACAATAGGATCTTTTCCAACCCTTCAATGTTAACACTTTATTGTAGAACAGGTGAAACAACAAGAGAGGAAAAACAGTAGAAATCTGTGTGACATAAGGGTTAGAATGCAGAACTGGGACTTGAGAAATCCAGACAAGTAACTCAGCAGGCCTGTCACTCAGTCCTATCCTGGCCTACCACGTAGCTCTGCTGTGAAGACTAAACGGGAAGAGAATAGCCTTGAGCTCATTATTGGAAAGGCCGGAGATATAACAGGAACTAATAAATAAATAACCATGAAGAGAAATCAATGTGGAAGACGGTCAGGTATCCTAAAAATATATCTTAGAAGTACTCTTTTCAGATGTTTATTCCTAAGCAATGAACACACATGGTATGTGTGTGTATATATACGCATACCATGTGCGTTCATTGCTTAGGAATATATGCATATATGCATATGTGTGGTATCATGGTGGCTCACAGCCTGCAGCCCTTGCTTGGGCATCTTCATTCAAACATTTGCAGCATGCCTCCACATGTTCAGCTGTGTACAGTTGGGGTCCTCACATACTGTACGGTTAATGCAGAGAGGTATTGTCCCTCCTATACGTGGATACTATAGATTAAGAATAAGGATTTTTTTTAAAGGATGAGGATTTGGGGGAGGTTTTAAATGATTGCTGGCATCATTCGTTGAAGAAATAACCAGAGTAATATAATTTTCGGGTAGGGGTGTGTGTGTGAATATCTGAACTTCTAGTAATTCTAATTCCATGCAGACCTATTAAGAGTGCTTTGCTTTGCCTTTAGATTTAGAATTCAACTCTAGCTCTTGTCGTTTTGGTAACCCTTGGGGGTGGGCAACATTAGATGCTGAAGGTAAATTCTTTGCCTTCATGGGAGAAAAAAGAGAGAGAAAGAAAACAAACATTGAGTTGAATGTAAAGGCGTTGTTGAAATGACCTCAGTGACCCTAGAGAGAAAGTGCTGGAATTCATGGGCTTTCCTGTATAGATAAGTAAATAGGCGGTCAGTTGGAAACATTATTCTTGTGCATTCCATTTCTGTGAGCATGTTTGCAGCTTGAATGTTCCTTGAAGGAAACACTATGCAAAACCTATGTTTGAAGCTTAACCTATTCCCTTTTACATTTTAACTGCTGAATGGACATTACCATAAGTGCTGATTCAGGGACCTTTCCTTCCACCCTTATTTATCATCTTGCACGCTCCTGGTCTTGATTTCAGATAGATTTTGACTAAAATTAAGGTTTTGAAGATGCAAAACATACGCTTAAAGTCATTGCAGTTTTTAACCTCTGAAGACAACCTCTTTTAACTTACTGAAGCCTGTGAGTGACTCACGTTTGAAGGGGAATATGAGAAGATCTTACAGCAAATATTTTGACAGCTCAGAGTTTCCTCATATGTTTACTTCCTCTAAAGAATTTAAACACCACCTCATCTGTGCAGAACAACAACTTGGATATGTGCCACAATTTTAGTGTGGAAAACCCAGAGGACATGAAATTTCAGCATGATTTATTGAAAGGCAATGATGATGGCTTTTTTTTTCATAAGGAGGGCAATGAGGTAGAAGAGTGGCCTCAATGCCCTCCTCTTGTTGAGTTACTTTACTGAATTATTTACCCAGTATACGCTGGTATTTATGAGGTGGTGGGATGAGGCAGTGGGGGGAGGGGGGAAGCTTACTATATGTTTGCAGTAAAATTTAAGTTTGACCATAGGGACATGTATAGAAATGTAACAAGTCAGTTACAGGAATATACAGCCCACCGTCACTAGAACACTGTCTCATCTGCTACCATTAGTTAGCTTACAAGAGCATTCAGTGGGTTCACATGTTGCTCCCTGTCCTTCCTTTTAATCTAGCATTTTAGGGTACTTTTAGACAGAGGGCTCTTAGTATCACCGATTGCCGAGCTATTCAAATATAGGGCATCTTCAAATAGAGGACTGCTCTTTAGGAGCCCCTGAAACCGAAGGTTAGGCATCCTTCAGTCTCGAAAGACTATGATAACGTGCTCTGTATGGAGGACTTGGAACAGCGTCTAGTGTGGCTGAGAAGGCCAATTCGAGAGTGACAATCCCTTCCACACTGAGGACAAATCCAATCTGTCCCCTGTCCAGCTCCCTGGGTTTGCTGCTTTTGTGACTTCCTCTTTGCCTCAGCCTGCTGGGCAAGGCTCTCTTCAAATAGGGAGAGGCCGTGATGCAGTGCCTGCCTCCAGGCTGAATGCTCAGATGTCAAGGTTTCCCATCTGTAGAGGTCTATTCCTAAGGCTTTCAGATCTCACTTGCAGATGTCCTTGTATCGCAGCTGGGGTCTCCCTCTGGGGCGATTTCCCTGCACTAATTCTCCATACAGGAGATCCTTTGGAATCCGACCATCAGCCATTCTCACGACGTGCCCAAGCCAATGATTAAGTTAGGATTTCCAAAGGTATAGCCATGTTAGTCTGCTGCCATGGGGCTGAAAGACTAACTTAGCAGATGCTTCCATTATTACAGATGCCTTGATGTGGTTGGACCTAGACTTAGTCTTGCTCATTCATGCATGAATAGTACAATTTTCTAAAACCTTTTAAGTTGCCATGGGACTCTTTGTTGTTTCTGTGTGAAATAGGAAACATGGCCACCCTGTGCGCTGTGTGAGAAAAGAGCATTGAAAGATAGCACTGTTTTATGTTTCTGTGTGCTTTTTGACTTTTTCCCCTAGGAGTTGTCCAAACATTGTAAAATCCTCCCTAGGGACCTGTAATCAGCCTGCCTATTAAACAGAAATTCAGTGCAGTCCTATGTATTCAGTGACACAGTCACAGAAGCATTGTGCCCCCCTCCCAACCTCGAGCAAGCTTTCTTTTACATAACTGATCTTACACTGGTTGTGAATGTGGGCTCATGATCAATTTTGTGACCGACAGCATGAAGGCCAGCCCACCAGAGAAGAAAAATAATACCTCTTATGTATGTGGTTTTACACCCTTGGATTTGGGCCACTGTATCAATTGAGACCTACTCTCAGGTAAGTATGAGCAAGACAACTGGGTTTAGGGAACTGAACTGAAAGGAACTTATTTTATTATTGTTATTATTCTGTTCACTACATTTAGATCCCATGTTGTCACTAGTAGGTACTATTTGGAAAAGCTTACAACTGTAAACTTAGAGACCAAAGCCCTTTTGTCTAAGTTAAATGCCACTAAAAGAGAGAGATCACCTGTAGCAGCAGACTGCCACTGACTAAAGAGTTCTCTTCAGTTCCTCATTGCTTCAACATATTCTTATTGCTCTCAAGCTGAATGGCTTTGCATGTGACTCGGAACTGAAACAGGGACTCTTTAATTAGAAGTAGTCAGCAGTATTGTTTAAGGACTGTTCTTGTGGTTGTTGTTGTTATACCTTATATGCATCAATAATCAACTGAAGGACATTTCCGGAATCCTGCTGGAGTCGTCCGACAGTAGCCCCAGGAATAAGATCAGCATAGCTCTGCAAATAGCAAAAATAATTATAATCAGGAAATATGTAACACATCCCTTTAATTCCAGTAGAGATAGTTATGTTGTTGCTGAGTTTTTAAGCAGTCACTTTTTTCTGATTGTTCCACTGTTCCTGCAACACAGCACTTACATCCATTAGTTAGATGACAGAACTCATGGTTTAAAATGAACTCTGGTTAGTTACACAAGCCAGGCTAATAAACCACGATTCAAAGCTGCCTTCTTTAATAATTCTCCTGACTTTGTCTCAGACTTCAGTATCTGGCTAATACATAATGAACCATCATAATATGTTTTGCAAAAAGTGTAACTAAATTTCACTCAAGTCATCTTTCTGATTGTATGGGAGGACTAGAGGGGCAGTAGAACAAGAAAAGTATTAATGGGAGGATGGGCCCGTATTTTATCACTGAGATGAGTAAATGTGCACTGCAATGTCCAGCACTGTGTGAACAAGTGGCATAGTGATATTTTTCTGTTCCTCACTGGAGGGATAGTATGGGCTTGGATTATGCTTTTTATACTGGCAACTACACAGTATTAACATCTGTCAAAACAGAACAATGATATGATGCCTGATCTGGTTAGGGCATGAAAGCAACATTCTCTTCTAAAACATAATGTTATGCAGAGAAGGAAACATTCACTAAAACACTTCACTTTCAGGGTTAACAAGTGTCTTTCAATGTTAATTTTGCAAAATAAAGAAGCAACTGGAAATACCCCCCCCCTTTTTAGTGTAGCACTTAATGTTTATTCATTAATGTTTATTCAAAACTGTTCGTATATCTGGGTTCACTTATCTATAAGCCAATATGGTATAGTAGATAGAATGCCAGACTAGGAAGCAGGACACCTGGGCTCAAATTTCTAGTCAGAAATGGAAACATAATTGGTATGGCAGAGGGAGTTAAAACAGTATTCCTTGAACATATTTTGAAAACCTTATAAAAACCTTCATACATTGGAAGTGGAATAGCAACACATAACTACAAATACCACAATGACTCAAAGAATTTGCAGCTTGTCTCCATTAACTAACCACTCTCTTTATCTTAGATCCATGTATAAATGCTTGCCATGTAGCCTCAGTATTCTCCCTCTTATGTCTGAAGAAGTGGACGTGCTCCGTGAAAGCTCGCATTATAATATAGCAGTGTTTACAGTACCACAATATTTTTGTCTTTTTTTTGTTCCTTTTGTTGTTTCCTGCTAATACATAACAATGCTCATGTGCATTTTTTGTCTGTGCAATTTTTGTAGTCTACTTCATTACAATAATAATACTGTAATACTAAATGACAGTGCAACTAAAAAGTGCCTGATACTCTTCAAGTAATCACCAAAGTCTCTTTGATTTGAACTTAGGATATGATGCTAATAATAACAATGAGTTAATGGCTGATATGCCACTTTAAGAAAAAGAAAGAAAAAATTCAAGTTCTGGATCCAGTCCTCTGGAGACACAGCACTCTTATGAAGTATGGGAAGGCAATGGGAAATTTTCCTCTCCTCTATGACCTACTCCAAGTGTGCATACATTGACACGTGTGTAGGCACTGCATCAGGTCCACAGATCTTTAAATGGCAAAACACAGGAAGCAAGATGGGTGGGAGTATTCAGCTCCTCAGCTGGAAGCCCTTCCTATGGATGGGGGATGATTCAGATTCATTTAGGCAGACATTAGTATGCAGTGCTATGCATATTTATGTGGGAGTAAGCTCCACTGGTCCATACCCATCTGAATTCTATATTATTTTCTTCAGAGCACGTATGCACTGAATTAGGCTATAAAATAGCTCTCTGTATTGTGGTTAATAAACACAGGCACGGATCATAATAAGCACCATCCACAGCATATGTTGATTGTATTCCGTTTTTTAAAATAGAGAACGAGGTGACTAAAATCAAAATGTCAACTGACATATAACATAACTTCTAAAATACCAAGTGGATAATGTGTGGTCTTCTAGATACAGAGATTGAATTTTTTTATTTTTAGAATCTTGAAACATGTTGACAGTGGGAGCTTGTTCGCTCACTGATTCTTAACTCATTTGGATTTGTTGCATCTGTAATATATTTATGTCCTATTCCACCTTTCTTCCAGATAAGCCCAAGATAGGGTACATGGCTTGGCTCCTCCTCACTTCATTAAGAAACAAACTTCTTTAAAAACATACTGTTCCAAGCTCTCAGAGATGACATTGCAGAGCTGTGCTTCAGTCTTTTTATACTGAACATTAGCAAGAAGGGGTTGTGGCTTGTACTAACTACCCTTTTAAAGCTGGCCTTCTTTGGAAATGGAAAAACTGACCCAGAACCTTATTAATTAACTGACACTTGCAGGAAATTGAGCATACATAGGCAAACGTTGCTGTCTGTCTTCATACACAAGGGCCCAGATGTGTTCACAAAAGTACAATGAGGACTTCAGTGGCATTTTTTCCACATGTGGGGTAACTTCTATAGTTCTCCCGTCTGCATAATTAAATAATTTCTAATTAAATAATGAGTTCTTTCTGCAGCAACAGCTCGTATTTCTTAATGGTACAAGAACGGAAGAGTTCCTTTTCTTAATGTCACAATGGGCAGGATCCTAACGGCAACTGTCAGGGATGTTGGCAAGTCTTGCAAAACCAAGTCCCAAGTGGAAGTCAAAAAGACTTTAAAAAAAAGAAAAGAAAGCTCCCTCACATCCCCTAATGGCTATACTGTATTTGGAAGGGATACAAAGGAATGAGGGGCAAGGGTTGTTGACAAAAGGCCGTTTGTTGTACTGTATGTATTAAATGGATCAGTGACATTTTCAAGAAAGGGGTATGTATAAAAAAATAATCTTAGATTTTTTTTTTAAGATTAACCAACAGTGGCCAAAATCCTGTTTTCTTTTTCTGCGTGCACAGTGATTCAATGCATGCATGGATGTATGTCTCTTCTTCTTTTTCCAATTGCACAGTGAGGTCTTAACTACCCCCTTGCACATGTGCAAGCCCCATTGTTCTCAATGGAGCAAATCCAGGATGCGGAATTGCAAACCAAAGGTTTCTGAGGCAACCGTAGAACAGTTACACTGTGCAATTGGCAGGGATGGGGACTCACGACTCACTGTCAAATCACACTTAAGTCATACCCGTGACTCGACTTGGACTCGACTTGGGAGTTTCTGGGGCGACTCGTGACTCAATTTGCAACTCGGACCCATTTGTCTGAGTCGTATCTTGTGAAGTCCCTATTGCCTCCACCCCACCCTTGCCAGCCTTCCTGTTGCTGCTGCCTCCCCCGTCCCCACACCCATGCATACGCAGGCCAACTGATAAGCTAGCACAGGACTCGGACCCATTTGTCTGAGTCGTATCTTCTGAAGTCCCTATTACCTCCACCCCACCCTTGCCAGCCTTCCCGTTGCTGCTGCCTCCCTTCTACACCCATGCATACGCAGGCCAACTGATAAGCCAGCACAGGCAGACCCTGTGAAACGGGGGAAGGCCGAGGGCCTTTCAGGGTGACGCTCTAGCCTGCCGTAGTTCCTGGTTAGGGCACGGTGATGAACTGCAGATTAGGTTAAATCAGGAACCAGATATTTCCAGTCTTCTCCATATTGCCAGAGGAGCATTAAAAGGAATGTGTTTATTTTATATTCTGTCTTTCTCCTGATGCAAAGCCCCAAAATGGTTAAACCCAAGGCCAGAGAAAATTGATTCCTTTTACATAATAAATGGGTTTAGTACCATGTTTGAAAAAGGCAATTGAGACCGAGGCCTGATGCAGTACGTATGTAGCAGACAAATGTGGGAGAATGACACTACCACTTTGGACTGAAGGTGAGAGATCATGGCATTTACGATAGCCTTATTCATTTCTGATTCCACCCCAGACACCCCTCTTTTTCCAGTTTCAGTGCTGTCTTCTATGTGAACAGCAAGAAGTTGAAGAGAAGCACGTCCACTATGGATGTCAGCCCTCCGTGTGCATCGGGATGCAGATTTTTCAGGGTCCTTATTGAAGTAGATAGCACCCACAGATAGTCAAGGTTTCTCTTCAGACTCATCACTCTCTGCATGTTGGAGAGCAAACCAGTGCGAAATAGAAGGGCCCACGGCTGGAGCGTTCCTCTCTATCTGTGATAAATATACTCAGTTTAATAGCAACTGAATAGGGTGTATAGTTGTGCACAAATGACCTTTAAAATTATCTACACTATCTGTGCGAAAAGAAAATTAAAGGGGAAGGGCAATTTAACCAGAATTTTATGGAGGAAATAATCTCCAACAAATTCTCAAAGCGTTGGTTCACCACTCTCAATAGTTGTAGTACAACTTTGGTTCCCTGCCATCAAGACCTTCTGGTTCGTTTACACTGCCACTGCAGCAAGCTAGCCACCATTTTGCTTCTTCCACAATACCCTCCACCTGATGACATTGTGGTACTGGAAGCGCACTGGCTTTGTGTTCAGTGATGTGAGACTTGGGGAATGTACAATGTGTCACACATGCACAACATTATTACAGGGAAAATGTGCTCTGGATAATTTTGCTGGAAACTGTAACTGGCATGGATTGAATGTTATATCCAGTTCAGAACTTGAACGAAAAAAAATATTGGGCAGATAAGTTTTTAGATAAAGTTTTTCACTTCTGTTCATCTGCACAATGTTATTTCAGCCTGAAACACTCACCTCTCAATGACTACAATAGCCATATTTTCTTTTAAAAGTCTGCATCTCTCATTGTCTGAATGGGCTACCACTGTTACATCAAGTTTCAGTATCTCCCTGTCAATTTTATCCTAATTGTCAGTTCTCAGGTGACTTCCTTTGTTCTCCAGGAACTTTATACCATGTTTTTTAATATATAATATATATATATATGATGTACCAAAACCCTGTTCTGTCACTGTGCTTTCTATGGCATTTTTGGTCCCTTCTTGTTGGAAACACTACCACTACTTTTTATGCCTCACAGAGCATGCAGTTGTCCTGCAAAGTAATTAGTAATTTCATATTTTCCGTGCCAAACTAGATCTGGATGCCTATGTGCATAGATTATTTCCTACTACAATGAAATTAGAATTCTTAATTAGAGGATTTTTCTACTTTTTTACGGTCTTTTTCATACTTACATTCCCTCTTAATAAGCATTCAAAGGACAAACATTAAGGGAAGTAAGATTCATGACTCTCACCTGATACAAAGGAACCTGTGCCTTTGTTACAGCAAAAATTAAGAAAACATTGTTTTCCATTATCTTCTCTATTAGTTGTCCCAAACTTGGGTATTCCTGTATACAAAGAGAAAGAATATTAATACATCTACATTGGAACAGTAAAACATTAGATCAAAAACTCTGTGGATTGTCTCCTGAGTTTTCAAGATAATCTTACAACACTGAAAACCCTGGAAACAAAGACGTTTGCCAATGTATCAGTTGATACCAAGAATATCGTATACATTTGTTGTTGTTGTATAGTCATTAAGTTGTGTCTCTGGCTTATCATATACAGTAGGATCCCCCTTATCCGCAGGATCGGTATAGATGGTTTCAGTTATTTGCAGTTTGCTGCAGCTTTATATAGGACATAAAAGGATGCCCCTTGTGACCTTTGTCCTGTCTCTTTGTATGTTGTACAGTATATAGGGTTCCTTTGTATCCATGGTTTCAGGCTCTTTTGGATACGGGGGTCCTACTAAAAGCTGCATCCTCTTTTAATGGCCCTGTTTCTGGCCTTTCATATCAGCTCAGCACACATTAATTTACCAGGAAATATTTTTCACCACCCTTTATCTCCAAATATAAGTGTCTCAAATCAAGTCTGAACTCTCACTAGAAGCTAAAATGACTAAGCTGTGGCTATCATACTTTGGACATCCCATAATAGCATAAGAATGATTGGAAAATACAATAAAGCTGGGGAAAGTAGAGGGCAGTAAGAGAAGAGGGAGGCTTCTCACAAGATGGATTGACTCAGTAAAAGGAGCCATAACCTCGTCTTTGCAAGACCTATCCAGGGCTGTCAGTGACAGGGTCTTTTGGAGAACATCAGCTCATAGGGTTGCTATAAGTCAGACATGATTTGACAGCACATAACATCCATGGTCACGACTAAACAACTAGACGACGAACATCCACATACCTATATTAACAGAAGTCTCTGCTAATTGTTAAACCCCTAATACTGGAAGTTTTCATTCCTTCCTGTTTGTTAGGGGATGTGGTGGTACAATTTTGCATCTGACCCCAGGGCTGGCTACAAAAATTGGACCAATATATTAAGGTTGCAAAGTGCAGTTCCTCCTCTTTCACCCTTTCAGTGTGGAAGAATGAAGAGGAAGACAGCACTGCAGCTGGAACTAAGCAGGAATCAGTTTGCACTTCCCCAAGGCCACACAGGCTGGCTTTTCTCCCAGGAGGCGTAGCGGAGAATCGAACTCCCAACCTCAGACTCCACAGCCAGATGCCTAACTTACTGATCCATCCAACCAGCTTAGCCTTTTTTTAAAGGTTTTCAGAATCCTCCTGTTAGAACTATTACTATGCTGGCTGGGATTCATAGGCAACAACAACAGTAACAACAACAAAAAACACAAACTTGTCCCAAGACGTGCCTATTTAGAACAAGGAAATGACAAAGGAATCTGGATTTCCACACATTTAAGACAGGAGTATCCCTCTGAGTGAAATACTGTACTCTCCTGAAACTTGTTTGATGGAACTTCTCAGTGGCGCTGTATGACATAAATATTGTCAATAAATAAACAAGTGTTATTCTAATTCTGTTGAGAACCACTTGATAGATACTCCATTTCAATTAATTTCTAGTACATTTTCTGATACTACAGTATTATAGGACAGGGCTATGTAAAACATTTCAATTAATTTCTAGTACATTTTCTGCGACTATTATAGGACAGGGCTATGTAAACTATGAAGCATATTACCAAAATGGTTGACATGGAGTATTCATTATTGTCATCTAAGTGGCATTCCCCATCGTTTGGAATAACAATTCCTGCTAGTTTACTATCCATGCCAAAATGGGAATCAGCATCACTCACAAACACCAACAGATGTAATGAATCATTCCTCCAACCAATTTTTTCCTGGAATGAAAATGTAAACAGTAAGAAAGGGTGTGATATGAACCTATTTGTATACTATTTCTATATCCTAATTATAAATATATATTTTGCTTCAGTGAGAAAGACTACACCACTCTAGAGCTGTCAACGTTCGAAGTAACACTTAACAGTGATTAGTGGTCAGAACGTGACATATAATTTCTTTAATGCAATGATTTTTTTTGCTCATTTTTATTTTTACATAAATACATTAACTCTGTTTTTGTTGCTTTACTAGTAACACGTTACTTGTCCTGGCTTTTTAGATTAATTTTTTTATTGAGTTTTTTTAAAAATGCCCTGCAAATAACCTCAGAAAAGCATGTTTAGAAATAACAAGCACAGGTACTTGCTGCATGAAAAGTAACCAATAATTATGCCATTTTGTGTAAATAAATTCTTTTGTTAGCAAAAACAAAGTAAAAAGCAGAATTCTTATAGCACCTCTAAGACTCTGGGAAGGTAACAGCGTTCCGTGTCTTAAGTCGCATTGGCCATGTGACCACGGAAGATTCGGACAAAACTCTGGGAAGGTAACAGCGTTCCGTGTCTTAAGTCGCATTGGCCATGTGACCACGGAAGATTGTCTTCGGACAAACACTGGCTCTATGGCTTGGAAACGGGGATGAGCACCGCCCCCTAGAGTCGAACACGACTGGACAAAAAATTGTCAAGGGGAACCTTTACCTTTACCTTTTACCTAAGACTCTGACACACTTTTTTCCCTATGAGCTTTCCTGAATTGCAATCCATTTCTTTTGATACATTTCCAAATACTGCTATTCTTTTGTCAGGTCTTTAATAACATTTTCTTTCCCTTTAGATCACAGTGTATGCCACAGATTTCCCTAGACCAGGTAGGTGCCATCAATAATTGCCTCTCTTGAGACTGATCTCCCTGCTAGCGTTTCCAAATGGAAAAACATTATCTGGTTTCTCTAGGGTAAAGGGTTTCACATGCTTAATTACCTTCAGTCCCTATGTTCCTAAAAAATACTGTAGTTGATATTGCCAGTACAGTGGTGCCTCGCTAGACAGTTACCCTGCATGGCAGTTTTTTCGCTAGACATTGACTTTTTGCGATCGCTATAGCGATTCGCAAAACAGTGATTCCAATGGGAGAGTTTCGCTGGACAATGTTTGGTCCCTGCTTCGTAAACCAATTTTTGCTAGACAACGATTTTGACAGCTCCCTCTTTGCTCGCAAACGGGTGTTTTGGGGACCTAAGCTTCGCAAGACAGCTATTTCAACAGCTGATCCACGGTTCGCAAAGCAGCTTTCCTATGGCCGATCTTCACTAGACAACGACAATTCTTCCCCATTGGAACGCATTAAACAGGTTTCAATGCGTTCCAATGGGGAAATGCTTTTCGCTAGACTATGATTTCGCTAAACAGCGATTTCAGTGGAATGGATTATCATCGTCTAGCGAGGCACCAGTGTATTGTCTATATCTGCCTGTCTATCAAACTTGGTAATGTACTTCTATTTGTAGATAAAGTCCTTTTGAGAGAAGGAATCCTTCAGCGAAAAGAAGCACCGTCCATGTTCATACACATGAATTCTCGCTAAGAGGAAACAGGATGCATGATGTCAGACCTCTCTGATTACTAGACAGTGCTATGAAGAGATGTGTGCAGGACCTACAGGCTTCCGCTGAGATGGGATTGAGTTTGTATCGAAAGAGATCAGAATATCTGACAAACAGTTTGTTTCCCTGGAACAGGAGTCTGGCTTTCTGTCCTAAATTGATCTGATTATGTCTGGAAACCTAGCTGTATGTGCTCGTAAGAGTCTGTGCCAAAATAATATTACTGCTAAAATAGTTTGCAAAGCAGGACAATCCCCCCCTTTATTCTTAAACATGATTTTATGCACCTTGTTATTTCACAATGTTGAATGATTGTTATTATGTTTCGATATTTCTCGAATCCATCCTTCAACTATTCTACTATGCACTATAATTATAATTTAGATAGAAGCATACTTAAATAGATATAAAATACTTAAAACTTCAGTGATTGTTGATGACATAGAACCTTGACTGAGATGGAAGTACTCTTCACTATTGTTTTCTCATCTTTCTGATATACCGTATTTTTCGCACCATAAGACACACTTTTCCCCCACAAAACAGGGGGGGTGGAAAGTCTGCGCATCTTATGGAGCGAAGAAAACAGATGATATTTTCCTGTTTTCTTCTCCTAAAAAATTGGTGTGTCTTATGGAAAGGTGCGTCTTATGGAGCGAAAAATATGGTATCTAATAAGTTCAACAGGTAATGTAATACAAGCTTGTGTAAGCTGACTGTAAAATCAGAGATAAAGCTCAATACTATGACTGCCTTTTAAAAAAGTAAACATGCATGGGGGGGTGCTTCCTTGGAATTAAGACAATTTGGGTCATGGCTATGTCCTTCATACCTTGCCTAGTTAAGTTTTGAGGTCTTTGGAGGAGGCTGCCATTTTGATCCCACCACTTTCAGAGGCACAACTAGTGGAGACATTACAGAAGACCTCCTTATTCGTTACCCTATTCTCTGGTGTTCCCCACCCAGAAAAGCCAGACTGGCTCCATTTCTGTCTCCTTACCAACAAAGACTTTTTCATATTCAGACCAGTCTTGGGCTTGCTTGCTGTTCAAGGGGCTTTTAACTGGAGGGATGTTGTATTTTATTCTTATTGGTATGTTTTCCACTTGTGTTTCTAAAGGTTTTAAAAACATTTTAGAGCTTATGTTTCTGATTTGTGTATTATATATAGGATATAGTTACATTCTGTAACTTAATAGTAATAAAATGAAATGTTTGCATTTCTGTGCATTGTTAGAACTTGATGCCATGACACAGAACAATGGATAACTTTTTTTCAAAAGTAGGTTTGCTGTGATTTGAAAATACTACTAAAACAATCTAACATTGTATCTAACACTTAAACACACATATACACAGAGAGAGAGAAACTATTGTTGCTAAAAATATTATACAGTATGTGTAAAATGCATAATGCATAATAGTAAAGATGGTGCAAAAAAGTCTAAAGACAATTATATCAAGTAAGATGTTTTCCTATACATAGCAACAAAATATGCAATGTTTTGAAAATGTTTTGACTGTATATTTAGTGATGTGGGGGTAGTTTTCATTTCAGATGTGGGCTTTCGACCATCTCTCTTTGCAATCACCTTGATCAGTGATTCCCAAATGAGGGCCCCCGATGTTCCTGGCTACAGGCTCAAGAATTCCTACTGAGCACAGCATAGCCAATGTTCAATTATGAAGAACACTGTTGTCCTCAAATCTGGAAACCTCTGGTACAGGTACTCTAACACTGAAAGCCTAGATGCCTTATACAGTCCTATTGAGACTAGAAAGTAAATATGCCACCTAAAGGAGTCTGAACATAATCTTACAAATGCCTGTTAGACAAATGTCTGTAGACGTTTACTAGTAACTAAGTTTTAAATTAAAAATTTGGTAGGAGAAGAAAAATATCTAAAATAAATAGAAACAAAATTATGAATGGGCTGGATGTACTACTGCAGTTCTCTTGACTCACAGGTTGCCTCATTTTGATGAACCATTACAAAGAATCTAGGATAGTGATTCTAATATTCAAAATGTCTTTTTTACTAATGTTACTAATTATTACAACTTGGGCTCAGCAAAGCACATTTAGGGAAGCAAGAGTTAAAATCCAACTTAAATGAACTTGGAATTGTGAAGAATTGGTGATTGCAATGGAAATGTCAACACTATTCCACCGTTTAGATTAATCAAAAATAAGTATGTATATTTACTTACCTTACAAACAGCTGCTTGCATAATTGCATCAAATCCTCCTTCTGGTGTGTCTATGTTTGCACTAATTTTCTGTTTTTTCACGATGTCATCGAATCTTTCAGCATCATTTGTAAGTGACAGAACATGCTTGTATCCAAATGTTGGTGCACAGTTATATGGGACGCTTCTGTAAAATAAATGTTTGTGTATGCATACAGTGATACAGATGAATATATTAAAATAATTTACACAAATAATAATAAAATAAAGCCTATGTGCCCATATCTGCATCCTTTTGCAAATTTCACTGAGCTTCAGGATTAAAAGATATATGACACAGTGGTCTTTTACTACTTCCAGTGCAAGCGAGAAGAAGAAAAAAGTCAGTTTTGATTTCATTTTTGCAAATTCCACCTGCATTGCTGACCCACAATATGATTCTGAGACAAAGGATAGCTTGTCTTTGAAATTTGCAAGGCTCGTGATCCATTTCATCCCCATGATAGTAATATTTTCTGTGTGCTTCTGTTCCTAGGCAAGAAAGAAGTATAGGGCCATGGAGGGAGATGCTGAATGGCTAGAAACCCTTTGTCTAGCAAGACTGGGAGAATATCAACATAAAGCACAAAACAAAACAAAAGCAAAACAAGACATTGTGGCACCTTAAAGACCAACTGCTATACGTAGTTTAATGTAAGCTTTTTTGGAACATGCCCACTTCTGCTGATGTAAGAGTGAAAATACATGAACTAAATGGTAAAGCATTCATGTAAGACTCTAAGATAAAGAGGCAGAGGTGTTTAGTTGCATTTCACAGACAGGAAAAAGTATTTCAAGCTACATCACCAGAGGCAAATCTGAAATATAAACCATTGACTCAAGGCTGCAGGTCCCGCTTTTAAACTTCTCTTATCAAAGACGCCTGGCCTATACATTCCACCCTGACTTTTGCAATGTTTATATTACTTCTGTACCACCTCACCGATGCACTGTACTGGGTTCTCTGTACAATGGCAGCCCTTGGCAGTATTACTAGCCATTGCAATATGTCATACTAGGGACGTGGTGGTGCTACGGGTTAAACCGCAGAAGCCTCTGTGCTGCAAGATCAGAAGACCAGCAGTTGTAAGATCGAATCCACACGACGGAGTGAGCTCCTGTCGCTTGTCCCAGCTCCTGCCAACCTAGCAGTTTGAATGTATGTAAATGTGAGTAGATAAATCGGTGCCACCTCAGTGGGAAGGTTCCGTGTCTACACTGGCCACATGACCACAGAATGCAATAAATAAATAAAATAAATAAATAACGGCATTCCGTGTCTACACTGGCCACGTGACCACAGAAACTGTCTATGGACAAATGCTGGCTCTATGGCTTAAAGATGGGGATGAGCACCGCGCCCTAGAGTTGGACATGACTGGACTAAATGTCAAGAGGAACCTTTACCTTTACCACCACCAGCTCTGTGAAGACCCAGAACTTAAAGTTATATGCATGGGTTTTACTGATCTAATAAAGGTTCACCTGATTTTAAGGGGGCAAAATGTGTCTTTTTAGACTGGCATGTGGTGTTTAACCTGCCCTGCTGTGTTGTTTTCATCTGTAATCTTTTTTTGGTCTTACAATAGGGTTTCAGGAGATACAAACTGGGAAACCCAGGTAAGAATTTTGGAACCAATTAAATTCTTTCCCATCTCTATCTGTGAATCTTAAATTCTGGCAGAGGTCCACAAATGGTCCTAAGAAATTTTACAGAAATGTTTCCTGCAACCAGAGCACAGAGTGCGGTCCTCTGAAGATGCCGGCCACAGAGACTGGCAATACGTTAGGAAGTACAACCTTCAGAACACGGCCAAAGAGCCCGAAAAACCCACAACAACCATTTCCTGCAATACCTTAGCCTAGCCATTGGAATTAAAAGTTCTCTGTTTTTAAAAAAATGCTACAGACCATTTTCAAGACCATTCAATATTCAATATTCAAGAGATGTTCTGACTCCATCCCCTCCAAAACCAAGGAATCAATGACCCATCAAAATCCTCAAACAAGTGACAATTCCTTGGTGGAAGATTCTAAGTTTCCTAAGGCATGTGGACTCACAGTTACCAGAGGAGAAAGTAGGAGGATAAGTTTACCTTTCCCCTTTGCACAGACATCAGTGGGACAGAAATTAATTAGGCTAGCTCTGGGACCAGCGAAATTTCTGACTGTCACTTTTGGCATGTTGGACAGGTAATGGGATATGCCCGTTGGTGGAACTGCTCCAATCCCCTCCCCCTTGGAGAAGCAATAGGAATAGATATTTTTGGCCCGAGAGATGGATGACTGCAACATTCTGTATGGTCCAAGTCATCCTCCCAGGATGACTTAATGCCTTGGCTAATTTGGATAATGCTTTCACCACTGAAACAAAGAAACAAGTGAGAATCAATGTTCAAACCAGATTCTTTCAAATCAGAAAAGGATTCTGAAGAGCACACTGCAAGTGGTCAAAATAAGCAAAGCAGGATCAAGGAATGTAACCCGCAACAGCTTGTGGGCAAATCTGGCTCACCAGTCATTCTTACCTGCTGTGGTGAAACCCCTTCCCCCAGTCTTTTGCCCTCAGAGAAGGATGACAAACGCTGTCACAGCTGTGGCAAGGAGAGATCTGCTCTGCTCATATGTGTATGAGAAGGAAAGACTAGTGGGGAAGGTGAAGAAAGGGGAGAAAAATTGTGGTGGTGGGGAAGACCTGTTTTCTGTTGCGATGCAGTCCCTGACAAGGGGTTCCTGGGGCCCTGGTGGTCCTTGTGCCAAAAATATTTCCCCTGCCTTGACTTAAAGAAGCAATGTAACAAATCTACCCATTTATATGAATGCAGACTCTTTCACCCAGATGTGATGGAAATAAGAGTTGAGATGAAAGAGACGAACAAAAAATTCTGAAACCAAGCTGGAGGCCTCTCTTACTAACCGGCAAGGGTTCTGTATTTCTTCAGTCAACGTATTGATAAAAGGTGAAACTGGCTTTTCAACAAATGATCCAAAACCCAGTTGGAAGTTAGTGGTGAGTTTAGACATTTCTTTTGACAGAGTGGAACCCAGTTCCTTTATGGTATTCAGATCGTCATTCATGGAAGCTGAAAGGTCCATGAGGTAATAGAGATCCACAGGATAGCCTTCCGTCTGACGAACATTGATCTGTAATGTTTCTTCATTTCCTTGTGAAGCCATGGGGGAAATAGAAAACAAATTAGCACAGCTGTGGTCAGAGAGTGAGAAAGAAAATGCAGTATTGACCGAGTCTGTTTAGTCTCAACGATGCACAGTACTTGGTTCTCTGTACAAAGGCAGCCCTTGGCAGGATTACTAGCCATTGCAATATGTCAGACTAATAGGCCAATAAAGCCGCTGGAAGTTTTATGTGCAAACTTTGAAAACAACTGCAAAAGGATTTATTTTGAGATGACTGTGAGACTAGCATAAGAAATAAAATAATAACTGTGCGCCTTCCATTCAATTCAGACCTATATTGACCCTTTTCAGGTTTTCTAGGTATACAGTACTCAGAAGTGGCTTACCATTCCTTTCTTCTGAGGGCAGGCTGGGACTGCGTGTAACAAACAACATACTAGAAACTGGGAGCAGCTTGATGCAAAGTTGGGGTTAATCAGAGGCATTTTTTAAAAAGTTCAGTAAGGTATCCTCAGTCTAGTACATGACGGTAGAACTGTAGCCGTAGCATATCAAACATTTCATATCCATGATGTTTAAATTGTTGTTATATGCTGTCATGTTGCATCCACTTAAAGGGACTATAGTGGGGTTTTAAAAATAAGTGGGGCATTTAAAGAACAGTTTGGCCAGTGCCACATTTGCACCCCACAATGCCTTTTCATATGGCCAAGCAGGGATTGAAACCCAGGGCTTCTGAGTCCTATAGTCCCTCACTCTATCCACTACACCAGTGGTTCTTAACCGTGGGTTACTCGGGTGTTTTTGGACTGCAACTCCCAGAAGCTTTCACCACCAGCTGTGCTGGCTGGGGTTTCTGGGAGTTGCAGTTCAAAAACACCTGAGTAACCCAAGGTTAAGAACCACTGCCCTACACTATGCTGGGTACCACTATATTTAAATAAAACAAACAAATCCTCTGAACAAAACTGTGGGATAAAAGTTTTATATTTAAGTACTATGTAACTTACCTGGCCTCAGATGAACAGTTAGTTTCTGAGGCGAAATCTGTGTAACATCGGAGTTGTTTTTTTGTGGCCCTTGACTCAGGGCCTTGTTTTTCTGGATCACTACTTTAGAAACAGGAAATTCAATTAAATTCAATTGGCATCCTTTTGAAATAAGCTTTTCAGGAGTATCACACCGTTTGTAAGTTTCAGATGGGTCAGTGAAATTCTACAAAGAAGAAAGAGTGGAAGAACTGGATGTAGTTGCCACACAGTACAGAATTCAGATATTGAGAAGGCTGCATTGACAGTAGGGATAATATAACAGTGATTTTGCATATTTTCTCTCACAGTAGGTGACATTTGTGAGAAAATGGGAACACTTAGGAGAACAGTGTAATTATGAACCACTTTGAAATGATGTAAATGTGTAAAACAGTGTGATTTATAATAAACCTATTACATATTTTAATCATTTCTCCTACACTTTTCCCTTTTAACATTGAGGGCTTGTGCTTACGAGACAGATCAATTGATACAGTATGTCCATGATTTATAATCCCAGGCAGTCAAATGTCCATTTTTCTGATTCCATTAGATCAATCTAATGGAATCAATAACGAAGAACTTTGATTTTCTGTCAAGCTGGTGTGCAAGGCTGTGGGGGGAAACTTTGGGTGGTCGTGAGGGAGCGAAAACGGTTTGTCCTGGTCTCTGGCTGGCTGGCTGCCATGTTGGATCTCCAAGGGACGGGACCTGCCCTAAGACCGGTTTGCTCAGCCTCCCTCCTTTGGACTATCTGCAGTGACGCCCTGCCTCTTCCCTGGGGGTGGGAAAGGCCAGTGATTAAATCATCTATATCCTAGATTTCACTCTCCCTTAAGTTCATGTTTAAGTTCTTTGTGGCTTGCCCCACGAGTAACATCTGTTCTCCAGTAACTTTATCACTAACATTATCAACATCAGCTTTAACAACATCAAAAATAACACAGAAATCTCCAATATCTGAAAGGACAAGGTTACGTGGAGGAGGAGGAAGGACCAGGGCTATATGTGGGATTTAAGGGCATGATTTCTTAAATTAATCTAATTTATACACAAGGGGTTTATAATTTGGGATTTTTTAAAAAAATAGTATTGTATTTGATTTATGTATCTTGTGATTAAGCTTGTTTGTTTTATTAATTATTAGTTTCTTTTCTTTTCTCTCTTGGATATGGAGTAGAAGGCCTGTCTGCCCAGCGAGGGGCCTTTTAACATCCCAGTGATCACAGGTAGAGGGAGATATGGCGTTGGCACAGTCCCTACTCATGTCAAAAGAACGATGAACAGATGTTTGACGGCTGTTCATTGTTCTGAGACTGTGATCAACCCTCAGTATCGAGGTAGCCAGCCCAGCCAGCGCTCCACTCTAAACCTGGTACCATTGAACGCCAGGTCTGTATCCAACAAACCCCAGGTGATCCATGATCTTATCCTGGAGGAGGATGCAGACCTGGTATGCATATCTGAGATGTGGATTAGTGGGGAGGTTGGCCCTGCTCTGGCTCTCATCTGCCCGCCCGGTTATGCTGTCCAGCACCAGGGTAGACTGGAGGGGCAGGGGAGGAGGAGCCATTGTTTACAAATCCATCTTAGAGGTTACTAGGCGCTCCTCAGTGGTAAAGCCAGGGCTAGAAGCACTCCACGTATCGATTGGGGCTAGGGATGGTATTGGGATTTTGCTGGGTTACCACACTCCCCGCGATCCAACCACTTCCCTACCGGAGCTGGCCGACTTTGTCTCCGCGGCACTGTTGGGATCCCTGAGGCTTTTGGTCTTGGGTGATTTCAACTTGCATGTGGGGGCAGAGGTTACTGGGCCAGCTCTTGAGTTCCTGGAAACCATGGCTTCCTTGAACATGTCCCAACATGTCATCGGCCCCACCCACGTGGGTGGCCATACGTTGGACCTGGTCTTTTCCACCAATTGGAGTGTGTGTGGTCTGATGGTGACCGACCTTGTGTCAGTCCCCTTGTCATGGTCAGATCACCATCTGGTAAAATGTAACCTCGCAATGGCTCTCCCCCCCTGCAGGGAGCAGGGACCTATTTCTATGGTCTGCCCTCGAAGGCTACTGGATCCTGTTGGATTTCAGGAGGCCATGAGAGGTGTTACGGCTGACCTGGCTGGCGCTCCTGTCGAGGCTCTGGTTGACAGCTGGTCCATCGCTGCCACTAGGGCTATAGACATGATTGCGCCTAAACGCCCTCTCCTGTGCAAAGCTCGGCCTGCGCCCTGGTTCAACCAGGAGCTTCGAGCGATGAAGCGACATAGGAGAAGGCTAGAGCACAGGTGGAGGAAGAACCCGACGGATTATAATTGGATAGCTGTTAGGGTCGCAACTAACCTTTACCTGGCTAAGGTAAAGGCTGCATGTCGCTCATTCTTCGCTAACCGGATAAGTGAAGCGTCAAACCAGCAGGCAGAATTATTCCGTATAGTGTGCGACCTATCCGGAACTGGTTCAGGTGACAGGCCTCCCCCTAGTTTTTCACCTGACCAGTTTGCAGCCTTTAAAAAATCTAAAGTGGAGGCCATCCGCTGGGAGCTCTCTCCTTTTTTGAATACAGTGAGTCAAGCAGAGATGTCCAGCGGTCCGCCTTGCCCAGTAGCCTTCGATTCTTTTCAGCCTGTGACACCTGACTCTGTGGACAAGGTGCTTGATTGCTGTCGGTGAGTAGCCATTGTTTATAAATGCATCTTAGAGGTTACTAGGCGTTCCTTGGTGGTAAGGCCAGGTCTAGAGGCACTCCACGTGTCGATTTGGGCCAGGGATGGTATTGGGATTTTGCTGGGCTACCATGCTCCCCGCAACCCAGCCATTTCCCTTCTGGAGCTGGCCGACTTTGTCTCTGCGGCACTGTTGGGATCCCCAAGGCTTTTGGTCTTGGGTGATTTCAACGTGCAACGTTTCTTTCATGAGCAAAGTGGTCGAGAGGGTGGTGGCTGACCAGCTTCAGGCCCACTTGGATGAAACAGACGCCCTGGATCCGTTTCAGTCAGGCTTCAGGCCACGCCATGGTACAGAGACGGCATTGGTCACCCTGTACGATGACCTGTTGAGTGAGGCCGACAGGGGCAAAATGTCTCTGTTGGTCCTCCTCGACATCTCAGCGGCCTTCGATACTGTCGACCACGGTATCCTCCTGGGGAGGCTCTCTGAGTTGGGAATTGGTGGCCTGGCATTTGCCTGGCTCCATTCCTTCTTGGGGGACCACCCCCAGAGCTTGGGGAGAGGATGTCGGCCCCGTGGAGGTCATCTCCCCAATGCTGTTTAACATCTATATGAGGCCGCTGGGTGGGGTCATCAGGGGGTGTGGAGCATCATGTCATCAATATGCTGATGACACCCAGCTCTACATCTCCTTTTCACTGCTGAAAGGACAGGTGATGCCATCCTGTCCCTTCAGCGCTGCCTGGAGGCCGTACTGCAATGGATGCCGGAAAATGGGCTGAGACTGAATCCGGACAAGACAGAAGTTCTGAGGGTGGGTGGTCCCATGGCTGGCGGCTTGGGTGACTCTCTCACATTATGGGGGGGTGAGCCTGGCCGTGAAGAGCAGGGTTCACAGCCTGGGGGTACATCTAGACCCGATGCTCACCATGGAAACACAGGTGGTGTCAGTAGTCCGTATCGCCTTTTTTCACCTATGGCGGATTGCCCGGCTGCGGCCCTATCTCAACACAGGGGCGCTCACTAACTTGGTGCACACGCTCGTAATCTCAAGATTAGACCACTGTAACGCGCTCTACATGGGGCTGCCTTTAAGGCTGATGCGGAAACTTCAGGTGGTGCAGGATGCTGCGGCCAGACTCCTCAGTGGAGTGAGAAAATACCAACACATTTCTCCAACTCTGGCCACATTGCATTTGCTGCCCATTTGTTTCCGCATTGACTTCAAAGTTTTAATGCTTACTTACAAGGCCCTAAACGGTTTAGGACCTCAATATTTGGCGGAACGCCTGCTTCCACCAAGGTCTACCCGGATCATCCATGCGAGTCAGGAGGTGAGGCTGAGGAGCCTGACGCCGAGAGAGGCCCGGAAAGAGAAGACATGAAACAGGGCCTTCTTGGCGGGGGCTCCCTGCCTCTGGGACAACC